AAGTGACAATGCCATGTTTGTCACAAACATCTGCTGAGGACATAAACAAGCCGGCTATTTTGCTATGGGATTTCCCCATACAAAGAATATCATCATCAGCCGTGATCTATCCACTGGTTGGAGGAAGACCTCCTCCCCATGCCGTCACCATCCCTCACGGTGCAGCGATGCCACAAAATCATCTAACTACTAAACATGAGCGAATTGGATCACTATATCTCTAAAGCAGTTGTAGTTTCGGTCAGGCCCACTTAGTTTTCTTAAGCCAACAGCATGCCCCTTCTTTGCTTTTCTTCCCTGATGCACGCGTTTCATTTTCTGTGCCTCAGTGTTATTCCGAGCAAACAACTCTCCTATGTTTCTTTGCGTACTTTTCATATTTTTTTTGTCATTCAATTGTAATTGTCCACATATCATAGCAGGCAATATGCATAATTTACTAACCTTTTTTAACCACATTTGGTACGCTGCTTTACATATAAAATTCAATTTTTTTAAAAGCATTCCAACCTGCTCTTGCTGCCTTTTTTATTTCTACATTTTGATCCTTATCTTCCGTCAATCACTGTCCTTGGTAGACCGATGCTGACGTTTTTTTCGGTTGTGTCCCTCTGACAAATGCCTCCAATTGTTTACAGACCTTATTGCATGGAATTCGGTTTTTTTTTTTGCTCACATTTATCTTGAGACCAACCTTGCAGTCATCTTTATTAAATTTTTCCAAAAATGTGGCTATTATAATAACTACGGCATCAGTAAATCTAAGATGGTCAATACTTTCTATATTTATTTTTAGTCTTATGTTACTCCCAGCGAATTTTAAGAGTATATTTTCCCATGTTGCTGTGAATGGCCTTGATGAGAGGCGATCCTTGCCCAATTCCTCTCCGACTTCTATTTTTCCCTTCTTAAATCAGTCTCAGTGTAGTTCCACCTTTATAAATGGTTCTTATATACAACATGGTTCTTATATACAATAGTGATTATTTCATCACGTAAAGAGGTGATAACTGTTGAATAATTTAGCTTCTCTAGGGATTTAAATTTGTGTTTTGCTTAGAATCAACCGAAATTCTCCGACCTTCTTAACTAATTTTCGATGTTAGTCGTCTTGTTTTTGCCAGCAATTAGCTATGAAGTATAAATGATATCACACAGGCCTGCAATACGTTTGCTGTGTTGAATTTGCTGAGGACAGAGACAAATCTAACAATGTCGAATTTGTCCGTGAGAATCAGGTCAATTTACATTTTAATTCATCCATATGGGCTCCGCCATACCCATTTTATTATCGACTTATTTTTGAAAAGGTGTTCATTGTCTTCATGTCCCTCCCCACGAGCTGCACACAAATCATAGATATGTATCTTCTCTCAATCCTCACTCCAATGCCAAATTTACAAATCATCCTCCCACCCTGCAATATTTATAACTAACTACATTTGCATTGAAGGCACCCCTTATATGTCACGTTGTTTTACCGAACACACACACATTAGGCAAACATGCCAATTGCGTAGATGCATAGCATACTAACATATATTAAAAAAAATTAACTAGAAATAACTTTTTTTTAAATCGTATTTCTAGGCAATCTTCCACAAAAATTATATAAACCTGTCATTGGGATTGGTAAGCTCTGTGCTATTCGGGGTTTCATAATTTTTGTGAAAGCATCTAAGGTATCTTCGGGTGGACAGAGGGTCACATTTCACTGACACAATTGTTGTGCAGTAGAACCCCACGGAGACGCGATTTCTACAAGGGCTGTTGCCGTTTTATTAACACTGCTACATTCAGTACTCTAAGCTCGCAGGTGCTCTCTATCTGGGTCTTTCGTCCTACCCTCTCTCTCTATCAGCCGATCCGTACTGAACACTCGGAGCCCTACTCTCAACTATCCCCTTGGCTCTCTCCCACTCGTCTGCACGGGACGGGGGTTCAACCAACACCGCCCGGTGGCGAGGAGGGAGAGACCTCTCCTGCCGATCCGTGCCCTGGCTCCTCGCCTTCGTCACGGGGTCCCCCTTAAGTACCCCTTTGGTGGCTCCTCCCCCTAGCTAGCTCGGACCCGCCTTTGTTCCCGAAGGTGCCCCCCCCTTACAGCACACGTGACATGACGTCATCCTCCGCTGTCAACTCGCTCGCACCTCCCTCTGTTTGCCCCCTCGTGGTTGCTCACACTACTCCTCTACATAATGATAAGTAGACTATTACTTCATTTAATGAAGATATTTACCATCTGAATCAGTGAATCCTGAGGATGGTTCATCATCACCAGCTATGACTAATCCACTGCTGGATGAAGGACTCCTCAAGCCCTCGCCAACCCTCATGATCCAGCGACGCAACAATACACCTCGTGCCTACACAAGTGATCATTTCTTTGCTCCATCTCCCTGTAAGTCATAAAGGCCATCCACCGACTTTCCTTTCACGACGGGTTCCTTTCCTTGGTTGACACCGTCATCATTCTTGGCCGTCAGTCAACATTCTTCTCGCGATGTGTCCCGCACAAACCCGTTACTTTTCTTAAGAGTTTGAATGATATCTTTAAACTGCCTATATTCTCTAACCCACATGTGCCACTTTCGGACCTTCATCATTGTCGATAAAACAAACTATTCAGGTGGATCATTCTCCACTTCTCTCACGCATGGGCATTTCAAAGAATTTCAAATCATCACAATTCAATTGTAATCCTAGCCTCCTTCAACACAGTGCTGCATTTAAAATTACCAGATAAACAAGGGCACATGAGAGAGTATAGGCCATCCACAGACTGCCATTCGCTGCTCGAGTGGCTTTGCACACTGACCATAATTGCATGATCATCTTAATTAGAACCGATGAGACCATCATCCATCTCCGCAAGCGTTGGTTATTTACATTTATTTTTAATCACAAGCTCAGACTCTGCAGACCAAATATGCTTCTGTAGACACATGTGACAGGGCCCTCATGGTTAATTTTGTACCATAAATCAATGCAGTTGCTCAAAGAAAAAATGCTTTGGCAGGTAGGCTCTTGCATACAATTGGGACCTTTAATTAATGCAGAGCCCCTGTGCAGCGTAGCAAAGCAAGGCAGACGTATTATCCCAGCATGCAGCAAGCCCAGTGTCAGAACAGGCAACACGATGTGTACATTGGCAAAATCCTGTTGGTCATTTTGTATATAACGAACAAGCATTGTGTTAACCTTCTTTGTCTGTCAGCGAAACAAAATTCTGATGTGATGGACGATGAACAGAACCAGTGCCTTGTGACCAAATCACATGGAAAGCGCCCGCATCTTATCAGATCACAGAAGATAAATAAGGTTGATCCTGGATAGTGCTTGGATGGATAACCACCATGCGCTTGGATGGATTTTATATCCAGGGTTTTTCAAAAATATGGCTCCCGATTTGAAATCGCTATATCTCTGCAACCACGAACCGCCCATTAATGAAACTCTTACCACTTGAAAGGGCGGGGCATAGAGAGGGCGGGGCATAGAATTTAAAATGATTACCGCTAGATGCCTCTCCCAGTGCACAAACAGCCCCTAGCCCCAGTCATTCGCAAGAAACACTGCTGCAACGTTGGATAGGTCGCACGGGACCCCAAGACTTGGCGCTACACTCTTGGCCCCCAAGATCACCCCCAGACATCACGACACCCTGCGACTTTTTCTCGTGGGGATACGTCAAAGATCGTGTTTTTGTGCCACCATTAGCGACTAATTTGGATGACCTCAAAAACAGAATCACGGCAGCGGTGACTTCAGTGGAAGATGACACTGAGAGGCGTTTGGGACGAATTCAACTATCATCTCGATGTTGTCCGTACAGCAGGTGGAGGGCACATAGAGCATTTATAAAATGGTTAGTAAAACTTGATAACTCATGAAACCGTTCGTAACTTTTTGTGTAATTGTAACATATTGCCATCGTGAAATATACTGCTTTGAAATTGGGTCCATCTTTTTCAAACACCCTGTATATAGCCTGCGTTGCTACAATTGGGAGCAGCAGAGGGCATTGCAAAAATATATATTTGTGTTATCATATTTATTTGCTTCCTTAGGCCTGACTTCACAAATCCACACTGACCGACGTGGTGAAGTATAGTCAAATAGCCCCTACACGACCTGCACAGCAAGAGGCTGCTGCGTTGGCAGTGGTGCCCAAGCCCAGTTAACAACAACAACAAACTCAACATATTCGTCTAAAACATCGAGGCCTTAAAAATATATATAACTTCGGGCAATGCCCTTCTTCGTAGCACATTAAGAAGGGCTGTTGCCCTAAACCTCATCAAATAAAAATATTCGGCCAATGAGATTGCACAAAGAGGGCTGTATGTGTACACATAATAATAATGTAAGTTTATAAAGGACCCTTTAAACATCGTTCTCAGGGCACTGCGCATGGAAAGGCGGAAATAGTTAAACATTAACCGAGGGAAGAAGAAGTGAGAAAGAGGTTCGAAAGTAAAAAAATCGAGAAATCCACTTTAAACATGTAAGTTTTTAGTCGAGATTTTAACATTTTGTAACGTGTCTTGGAAGTCCCCTGACCTCGAAAGACAACGAGTTCCAGAGTTCAGGTGCCGCAATTGCAAAGGCGTAGGCGAGACCATGGGCGCAGCGAGCATCATGTACCGTTCACATGCGCACAGCACTTAATATGCTGTTAAATGGACGAGCGGGTGGGGAGAACCGATCTGCTGACTGCTCTAGTTGGATGGAGAGAGGCTGCTGTGGATACTCGAGTTGCTTGCGCACGGAGCGGCAAAGGCGGGGGAAGTAAGCAAGTGGGCCAGCGGTGCCCGTTAAACGCTCCATGTTAAATTAACTTACGCTGCTTTTATTGCGGCTTACGTTGCATTTCCTCGGAAAGAAGCACCACATCCTCCCACCCCCACACCTCCGCTCAGTGCCAATTGCCCTTCGAGCCAAAGGGGATGGGGCTGGAGGGGGGGGGGGAGCTCTCGTGAAAATTCAAGACAACGCACCTCTTGGCAGTAGTCCAGGTCCACCGACTTGCCGTCACTCCGGGCGCAGTCCAGCATGCGGGTTACGACTCCCACGCCGCACACCGCCTTCTCGCTCAGTTGGCACGTGCTCCACTCTGCGGACACGGCGAGCCACGAGCACGTCTCAGGCTCGGGGTGGGGGCAACAAGCCAACAACCAACGCGCGAATTGTCACAGCTTGCGACGATACAAGGTCGCGGCCAATTCGTTCGAACCAAACGGCTGTCGGTGACATGCGGTGTGGCGCAGAGGTCGCAAACGGCTTTTGATTCCTTACCCGTACCCGTACCCGGCCGCACCAGGGTTGCAAATGGGTACCCGTTCCCTACCCGTACCCGTACCCTACCCGAAATGAGTGACAAACGGTTACTCACCAGTGACTCACGGCCTACACGTACCCGTACCCGGCCGCACCAGGGTCGCAAACGGCTACCCATACCCGTACCCGGCCGCGTACGGGTAGCCGGGTATTGAGTAGGGTACGGGTATCGGGTACCCGGTTGCGGCCTCTGGTGTGGCGGTTTGAAAGATGGGCACGCTTAAATTAGAACGATAATAATTATTGAAACTCGTCCCCCACCTCTGACCACCCATCACCCAGCAGTATAATGGGTGCACCATAACACCACTGTTAGTAAATAAACTCAACACTCATCAACAACACTGCCTTAAAAGAAAGAAAACAAATAAGCAATTGGTGATGTTTTGCGCAATGGCCCTTCTCCATAACGCATAAAGAGAGAGCTCAGAGAGGTAAGAGTTAATAAGAGTTGGAGACTGCACTTAACACCATGGGGCCTGATGAGAATTACATTTGAAAAAAAATTTCTGATGACCAGTTTTCAAATGGGTATATGAATATTTGCCTAATAGTAGTTTTGAGTACAAATTAATTAATCAATCATAAGTATACATTAATAAACTAACTTGCAAGAACATTTTAATTTGAAAATCTTACTGACTGTGGGAGGGTTTGTCCTAGAGAGTCGTTTGGCAAGTTCCAAGTGGTGGGGTAAGGTGTGGGTAATTCCACCTCTTCAAAGACATTAGGTCAGTGTGAAAGAGGTCGCTCAACGTCCCAGTTAAAGAGTGGCTCTCTGAACCTTCCTCGAGTGGAGACCCTTCCGCTAGCAGTCGCGTGAGCAAGCAATTTAAACTGCAGGGCTCTGAACATCATCAAGCAGGAATGCAGCTACCGGGCGAATGCTATCGAATTGACATGTGGACGGTAAAAAAGCAAATGCAAGTCAAAAGATACCACTGTGTTACAAACAGCACGGGATAAATATAAAGAAAAGTGTACTTTTAAAAATGATTACCTTGTTTAGTCTCAAGTCATTATTATATGGCCTTGCGTATCCCACAATGCAGCTATGCGATACATTTCCTATTTGCAATTGTTTCGTGCACAAGTGGTTACGTTAGATTTATAAACATAAATATAATGGGAGAGTGGAAACAGAGGCACAGTGGGGGGGGGGGTCGTTGTTGGGGTAGAGATGAAAGAAACTATGAAAGCAAACACAGCACATCTTTAAATGTTTTAATGAGAATTTAAGCCCTGAATCTCGTTAATTGTGCTGGATTACTCCCCGACACCACTGCAGTGTAATAGCATGCACTAACTTAATGCATTCACTAATTTTTTTGTAGCAAGCTTTTGGGGATCCCTATATTATTTTCAACAAACTTTTTCAGACATTAATTAGCCTTCAAACTGCCAAAGTCCATACACGGACGGGAAATGCTCTGAAAAATGACTGCACACCGCAAGGCATGATCTTGTGGTGTTTACATGTGTGTACATAATTTGCTCAAGTCTTCCAAGAGCTTCATCGTAGCAATATGTCTCCACCATGTTACACACTTGCTCTGTGTACAAAGCTGGTTCACCATGCGATACGGGTCTCCCCCGATTGCATTTGCATATCAGCCTTCAAAATAGATATTTTTGTGGTTTCTGTACATTTATAGAACACGCATAATCCATTATACGGCACCATTATCATTTCGTTCAAGTCACTGTAAGCAAACTGACGAGTGGTGAGGATGAATAATGAATCCTTAGCTCCGAGTCGCAATAAATTAAATCAGTGCAAATACTATGGAAGGTAAAGGTGTGGACCTACAATTGCTTGCTCACTCACTGTCGGCGGAAGGTGCGTCGACGAGAAAGCTTGGAAGTGTCCCTTTAAAGGATATTTTGGCCCACTCTTCTACTTTACCCCAGCACACGCGATCGTTTAACTGACAGAGGCGGAGGCATTTAACAAACTTGATTAGTGTTTCAATTGCCGTTCCGGGAGATAGCGTGAGTGATCTTAGGATTGCAAGTCCAGTGTGCTCACCATTACGTAATGGCAGCATCCTCAAAAATAGTGTCAAGGCGCCCTTCCCCCTCCAACCCAGCTTAAATATACGCTGCCAAGCCTGGTGGTGCTCATTCAGACGCTGTCTTTCCGACAGACCTGTTCTTCACCTGAGGACGGCTGCTTGCGTTGTGGCCGAAACGTCTATTATTTCCCTTCTACGTGACTTTACCGAAAGAACCAAGAAGATAGTGGAGTACGCTTTAAAAAGAAGGCAGCGTCACCCCAATCTAGTGAGGAGGGCAGGAAATAATTTCTGAGTAACGAGTATTGCTCAACAATTTAAATGTTAAACCTCTGATGTAATTAACCAACGAGCTGGCTGAAAGTAATTCCAGGATTTTATAAGATTTTAATGACAGTTTGGCCATAATGTTTCCTTCAAATTGGGGGCCTAAATTGTAATTCGTGCTATTTCTTATTTTAAACATGTGCGTGAACATTATTTATTGCTTTTTGAATTGGCGAGTTCAAAGCTGGAATAATTCACGACGCTGCAGATACATGTCATTCAAAATGCATTTCGTATTACCACCAAGACAGAATACATTTGTGCTAACAAAAGCGATGAAATCATCCATTCTCTCATGCTCGGCCACAGCATGAGCATGGAGAAGCTGCACTATGCAGAGTTCTGCTACGAATTGAGTCAATGCACGACATCTACAGCTTTGTTGAAAATGTGTTTTTCTATTTTTCAATTAACGTGCTTTATTTCTTTGTAATGTTATACAGGAATTGAGTGGTGTCACGGCGCTTAGCATGCTGGGTTATGAACTTGGCAACTAGAGTTCGATTCCTGGCTACGGCTCTTTGGATCCCCAGACAGATATCAGAATCGGTCTTGCCCTCCCCATTTATCAACCCACACTGACCAGCGTAATAAAGTATGATCAACAATACTCCCGTGGCTAATACGGCATTGGGAGGCCTTCATCCATTGGTGGATTGAGAACGGCTTGATGCATTTTTTGTTATTTTCATGTTCCCCGGTGTACAATAATGCTGCAAGTCATTTGTGCTCTTGCAATGCTATCGAAAAAGTCCTGATTCGGAACTCCCAGACATTAGCACAGTGTATTTGAAGTGTATGTCCTTTGGACAAGTGCTGTTCGCGAGCACGTATTAAGGCTCACGTGACACACCAGGTACTCATTTGAGTCAAGGTAGTGGAGACTCACGTCTAGCCAAGAAACAAGTTGGGGTCAGTGCATAATGCGAGGTTAATGAATACATTGGCGTGGAGTGAATTAGATCCCAAGCGAGTGACATCTGGACTGCAAACGGGGCCCCCAAATTACCAAGTCTCACCACGGATCTGCGTGAAGTATGGTCACGCATCCCCCATGATGGACACGGCGTGGGGAGGCCTTCATCCACAAGTGGATTGGCTCAGTGCCGTTATTATTTAATAATATAATCGTATGCGTTTTTTTTACGTAACATTCATTTGGAATTCTAAGCCCATTGAAGTTGCGTAACCCTTACACGGTAATCCCGTGGACCTGTCGACATGCCTGGTTATTTCTGGACAGGCATATGGCAGAGGACGAACTGCAATGCTGAAGCCCTTCACGTTGTGCAGGTGCAACGCTCATTAACAAAATGCATTTTCATGAACAAACATCACTGATTGCAGGCACAAAGAAACACGGTGCAGTAGGAAGCATAACCAGATGGTTTCACGCATATGATCATTGAAGATTATAACGGAGCGTGTCTACAAAATACAGTTGGGCCAAAATGGCTTAAACATAAGCACACTCCTGGGAAGTCATTCCATCAGATGGACACAGGCTTATTGAAGCAAGAAGATTTAAACATGCCAAAAGTTGTGTTGCAGTCACGCAGAAAAAAAAAAACTACATCGATGCCAGATGCCCCAGTGTAAGACCATTTTCTGGAACAAAATGTCACACTTCAGATCAAGAGGTTATAATGAAATGCAAAGCGTGCTCACTTGCACGGCAGTGTGGATTTGAAGGGACACACGCACACACGTCCACCAACGCAAAATGCTAAAGAAAGTGAGAGATGACATAAATAAACAACTGATCTGAATGTAATGCAGGTTAATAAAAGCTCTCCAGTGTGTGCTCCTTCTTGCAAACATTTCCCGCGAGCCCCCACTCATCATCTGTGCCAGCTGTGGTCATATGCATTTTTTTGCGTGAGTTCAGATAAAGGGCACTCCATAAGAACTCCGGAAATTTGAAAACACTTTCAGCAAATTCATGCTGGCAGCATACACACACACACCAGCTTAATGGAAGCTGCATGTGTCGGTTTGCAGAGTGGCTGTCTTGTGATCGGTTGGGCTTGGACCTCTCACTACTAAATGACCTTGGGATCGGTGTAAGTTCCAACACAACGTGAAAGCAGTTTACATTTTAACCTTTCCAAAAGAACCGTAATTAAAAACGTTACGTGACCAGTATCAAGCGCAAGTATGTCATTTATCAACGATAACTTATTAAAACAAATCCTATAACACCGATGGCAAGATTGGCCTAATTTTGAATGCCATGAAGCATTCATTTTGCTAGAACACATTTACGTGCAATGTCCCGCATCTGTACGGATTTTCATCTACCAGAACTCCAATAAACTTGTCATATATTCCGTGTATGTGTATGTTGTTCAAGTTGATCTAAAAAAACTCACTGATGAGCAGCCTGGAATCAGGTTGTCTGCTGCATTTTCTGTCATTATTCCTTATTTAAGAAATATATACATAATATGAAAGCCGTAGACTCGTGTTATGTTTAGGAAAATTGCAAAAGTCTACCCACGCAAGACACAAGAAACGATACAAATGCGGCAGCTAAAGGGAGCCAAACATCAGAATCTCTTTTTATACTGCAGAAATCCGATGAGCCATATAACTCTTCATCACAGATGTCCAGCAGTAGGGGCGGGTCAGCAAGTTCGAGCAACCAAAGAAATGAACAGACTCGCGACCAGAAATCGTGACAATCGTCGAATCATTAAGGAGGTGTTTGGGGAGCAGGGTCACACCACCGGTGAGCACGTTGGCCGCTCGGGGCACAGGTGCCACCCTCGCCCACCACCCCCCGTGGCCGCACCTGTCAGGTTGTACTGGTGGTGGAAGTAGTTTTTGTCGAGCGCGCACGGCTCGCTCTCGTTCAGGGCAGCGCAGGTCGCTCCCGGCGCGGCGGGGCGGAGCACGGAGCGGGTGCGCATCCGCGCCATGGAGCTGTTGTAGGGCTATGACGCAATAAAGAAATAGACACAAATGGGTTCGCGTGCAGGTCATAGGTGCATCGGTACATCGCTTGATCCTGAGAGGTGGGGGATGACTTTGGAAGGCCTTCGTCCAGCAGTGGATTGACCCCGATTGCTGGTGGTGGTGATGATGGGGATGATTATAACAATGGATAGTACGCACGGTACGAGCACGCACTGTCAATCCAATCAGCGACTTAGCTGCCGAGTGTGCAGGTGGTGCAGCTGCACAGGCGCTGGGCTACAGAATCTGGGGGGTGGGGGGGATTGGACAGCTTCCCCCCTTATTTCATTCTTTGCACTGGGGCCCATGCCAACCACACGACATCGCTGACGGCAGTACAACACAACTGCTGTCCCATGGTTATCTGCACAAATACATTTACTGTCAGGCTGTACATTATTCTTTTCATATTTTATTCATGCCATCGTACATCATGCTTTTAATATTTTATAATGGATGCTTTTTGTCTCCATCTATTTATAATGATAATAATTTACAGCCCTTTGTCAGTCCATCGCCAGATGAAGGCATTTCCACACTGCGTCATGCAACGGCGGGTTGACGACACTTCACCAGGTTGGTGGGTAAAGGGGGCCAGTACCGCTTCAGATATGAATTGCTACCAACGGGATTGAGTCATTTCCCACATGACAACAAACATGTTGGAAAGTAAACTATTTTACGAGCATTAAAAACAGATGACTCCAGTCTTCACCCCCCCCCCACCCCGTTCTATACGAACAATAATTTGTGTTTAATCTAGGCCACCGCACACCCCACATTACCCCAGATGATTATGCGATGACGTGTGTGAGTAAATCTATGGGTCATTTGGTTCCGACTTTGCGAGTACGTCATGTCTACTGCTGGCTTAGCACTGCCCACGGACAAACGAGCGCTGTGTGACGCCGCCGTGGTACAACACACTTTACTTACAGAGATACGTGAATTAACACAAAGGCAACACAGAGACTGGCACACCAAAATGTGTAGCTATTCTTTAAGCAGACATTCCTTTGGGAACACATTTTCACGGGTTGGTATTTGAATAATTCTTTGTCTCTGTGTCACCTCCAGCAGATGCTCTGAAAATTTACTTTCATCATATTCCGGCCTTCAGCCTGTTTGATAAGCCAGCCTTCAGCTTGCATATTGAAGGAGAGCTAAAAAGCAATGTCTTGGTTCACATCTTCAAGGAAAGTAGAATTTTCTTAAAGAAAAAAACATGACAAAAGAGGTGAAGTTTATAAATTATGAACTCCAAGGTGACATCTCGATATATAATACAGTACTTGTTTACAATTACATTTGTTTTATGTTCAGCTATTTCTCTACAACTTTTTCCTTTGGAAACTGAATTCCACCAGAATTATCCGAAATTAAACTTGGCAAGGATAAAAAAAAAATAACCCTAAAATATATTACCCTCATTGGGAAACTAATTTGCTCAGCAGGCTTATATATCTTTTCACAAAATTGGAGAGAACATTCGGCTTTGCATATGCAATGCTTCCACAACTGTCAACTTGGCATCCTCAACAGTCAACGTGGAATCCTCAACTGTCAACGTGGAATCTTCAACTGTCAACGTGGAATCTTCAACAGTCAACGTGGAATCCTCAACAGTCAACGTGGAATCCTCAACAGTCAACGTGGAATCTTCAACAGTCAACGTGGAATCTTCAACTGTCAACGTGGAATCTTCAACGTCACTCAACGTCAACGTGAATCTAACCTGTCAAAGTGGAATCCTTCAACAGGTCAACGTGGAATCCTTCAACATGTCAACGTGGAATCCTCAACAGTCAACGTGGAATCTTCAACTGTCAACGTGGAATCTTCAACTGTCAACGTGGAATCTTCAACTGTCAACGTGGAATCTTCAACTGTCAACGTGGAATCTTCAACTGTCAACGTGGAATCTTCAACTGTCAACGTGGAATCTTCAACTGTCAACGTGGAATCTTCAACTGTCAACGTGGAATCTTCAACTGTCAACGTGGAATCTTCAACTGTCAACGTGGAATCTTCAACATGTCAACGTGGAATCTTCAACTGTCAACGTGGAATCTTCAACTGAACGTGGAATCTTCAACTGTCAACGTGGAATCTTCAACTGTCAACGTGGAATCTTCAACTGTCAACGTGGAATCTTCAACTGTCAACGTGGAATCTTCAACTGTCAACGTGGAATCTTCAACTGTCAACGTGGAATCTTCAACTGTCAACGTGGAATCTTCAACTGTCAACGTGGAATCTTCAACAGTCAACGTGGAATCTTCAACAGTCAACGTGGAATCTTCAACTGTCAACGTGGAATCTTCAATTGTCAACGTGGAATCTTCAACTGTCAACGTGGAATCTTCAACTGTCAACGTGGAATCTTCAACTGTCAACGTGGAATCTTCAACTGTCAACGTGGAATCCCCAACTGTCAACGTGGAATCTTCAACTGTCAACGTGGAATATTCAACTGTGAAAGTGCAATCTTCAACTGTGAAAGTGCAATCCTCAACTGTCAAGTTGGAATCCTCATCAGTCAACGTGGAAGTTGTTTGTTTTGTGTGCCACCTCCACATTACACAAACCCGGGTCACAGAGGTCTTGGCTTGGAGCATTCGAAGTTAGAAGCTAGACGACATTAGAAGTGGTGCGCGTTTGCCACTGTGTACCTGTACGCAGGTTGTCCACGGGCCCCACTCGGACAAGACACACTCCCAAGGGCAGGGAAGCCAGCACGACCGGTGCGCAGCAGGCATGGCTTCAGGGTCGCACATCTGTGCATCGGCCACTTCGCTGGGCCCATCGGGCGTGTTCACAGTGCACCTGCGCAAGCCACACACCGGCCGTAATGCAGCACTTCGAGCAAAAGAAGAACACATGCATATCTGGCGAACAACCGGAAAACACATCGGAGATCTAAAGAGCACAACTGTAAAAACATACACGGTAAATGTATAACTGCTGCAAAAGTGATTGATAGCACAAAATAAAAGCTTTGGAATGCACATGACTAGCTTGATAATGGTGAAATCTGGGTCCAGACTGGGTCAGCAGCAGCAGCAGCCGTGTCTGTATCCTTAGGGTGCCTCCGTTTTTTTTTAACTCTGCATACATAACAGCACCATGCCCATGTGGAATGGATTGCGTGTCTGTGTTCCTCCGCCTATGTGAGAAGTTTTGGTTCAAAAGAAATATGAAAAAAAAATCCTCCACATTTTCAGATATAAGTGAATATTCTGCAATAATTTGACAGCTGTTGGAAACGTCTCTCACTTTGCCAGAAGCTGCATCTCAATATTCGCATTAAACCCCAACAAATCGATTTGGGTGTACACAAATATGAAAAAAAACTGTTAAGATGTTAATAGTATAAACTTTTCCTGTGGTGGTTTAAGTCTGGGAGATTTACCGGTCTCCTGGTGGGGAATACCAACAGTTGCGATGAAAGTCGTAGGCTCACTTGCCTGATGAGCTTTACACCAAACAGTAAATTTTAATTATAACTCGAGTCATGTTCTCTTTCTGTTACCGCTGGTTGGCACAGCGCTCTCAGCTAGAGGCAGCCCACAATATCGCATGCTGCCAGAGTATCTAGTCGGAAATGAAATAGCAAGAAACTTCAACCAGTGTTGCGATAAATGGTTTTTAAATGGATATCAGGATACACAATTACACATTTAAAATTGTTGTACCGTCACAACCAAATACTGTCCTTGAAGTATCCATGAGCATTGCAAGGTTTATAAAAAGGCAATTGCTACTGCTTAGGTGAATGTGAAAATGCATCTATGTTATCGTAACCTAGAGAATGGAACACTGAATGGGAGGGGGGGGACTTGTATGTGTAGGCACACAATAGTTTTAGTCGCACATTAACGACCTATTATGTTGAATGTGAAAAAACAGAAATCTATAAAAATTTCTCTCGTTCCGTGTCTGTGCAGTAATAATGTCTGTTGTGGGTTAAGGACAATGCAAGGTCAATTCTTAAGCAGTAATCGCCAAGGCACATAAATATGTGCATACGAAACATCCTCTTTTGCTCGCTGCTGGCACTAATGAGCAAATTCTGGGTTAGTCCTGAAGTGGGCTGGTCACCCCCCAGAGGGAGAAATTGTCGCTTCGTTTAGCCCTATTATAGTGTGGGCTGCTCCAGCAAACGAAGATACAAAACCAATGCTGAAAAATTAGGGGCATGGGGAATAAAAGCTCCCGCTCTTATTACTCAAGAATCCTACTGAGACAACTATCACTCGCAAATTATACAAGACATTCAAGGATTGAGTTGTCTACTCCAAGGGTAATGGTGTCTTATGATGCGATACGTATAGCTAACTAATAATTACGTTAGATTTGTTTTCACGCAAAGTTTCTAAGAATACCACTGCTCTGTCAGTCGGCATTATCAGTCTCAATATTGTGCTCACAACAGAGTAAAAACTCATGAAACCTCCAGCTGTATCATATTCTAGTGAATCTGTCTTATAATAAAATATTGCCTTGGGTAATTGAATGGATATACAGCATCAACAACTGACAGTTCGTGAAGGCAAAAAGTACTCGTAAAATGTATAACCTGGGTCATTTTGATGCATCATCTTACTTGTGAAATTAATCAACAGTTGCCCAAAGGTGTTTGCCATTTCTTTGGCGTCCGCTGAATTACGAACGTTCATTGGTGCTTTTTTTTCCTTCGTAATAAAATAACATCCCCCTTAAATTAGATTGCATACATTAACCAGTCCCAAATACTGTATGCTCATAGAAATTTAAAGAGTGGCACAACTGGACCTGCATTCATTGTCACACTCTCCAGACCAAACAGAGAAATCTCCACTCCCTAATCCCCACAATTGTTTTAAATGAACGAAGCTCATACACGGATTCGTTTTCCTATAGTCAGAACGTGTGTTCACCTTTTGTTCGTAGCAGTGTTCAAAATCTCAAGGGGTTTAACTTATTCCTTCACCATGCACATTTTTAATTGGAACACTATTTTCTACAGGAATATAATGGCGACGATATTAAAGGATAATAATTGAGATTTAACAATTCGCAGACACTGTCTAATTTCCTCTCCGGTATTATGCTCTAATTTGTAACATTTAATTTTAATTGGAGACAAAATTCGAAATATATTCTTGGTTCTTTCGGTAAAGTCACGTAGAAAAAAAAAATGTGTTTATTATTTTATTATTTCCCTGCTACGTGACTTTACCGAAAGAACCAAGAATATGAATCCCTGCAGTCACGAAAGCTTTAAATCAAAAAGATGTTATACAGCGTTTAAAAAGACGTAACAAGACTGCAGTTCTATCATTTCGCTGCATTACATTCACCAGTCACATTGTCAATGCCCAGAATCTCAACCGGCTTTGTCATTCAATCCTGACGGCAAGCACATACCAAGAGAAGCAACGCTTTCCAATCATGCACCTCCATTCTTTGGACAAATCCAATGTTGGGAAAATAAGTAGAGTAGTTCAAAAGGGTTTATACTTCTGGGAATGTACCCGTATTAATGCAATGTTGTTGAAGCAGGGTACCACTTCCTCTGGGGAATTTTACCCGATACTGAGAACCTGCAGCTAAAAATCCCCAAAGAGCATGACATTAGGCTGTATAGAGACACGAATGCAGGAATAGGTAACAATACGTGTTCCGTCTCGTAATATCTGGCTGTGAGGAGACTCGGTCAGCATGCTACATCGTTTACCACAATACGTACACACATACACTTATTTATTCTTCTTGAAAAAAAAAAAGACCGTGGTCACGTTTTGCAAAAAAATGTTGTTAAAAATAGGTTGTGAGCAGCATCCGAGATTATCTTGACTGTGTTCAGTTGACCGTCTCTTTGTATTGCGTTGAAATCAGGAAATCGGAGTCGGGAGATAAATTTACGTCTGCTTTGAAAACCCATCCCTTTAAAGTGGCTTTCCCTCTTTAGTTTGGTCGGTTTTCCTGGTTCTGTTGTTGTTTCCTGCTTTCAATGCATTGTGCATCGGATCCTAGGATGTGATGCGCATTATACATTTGAATATTCTTAGGTTTTTTTCGGTAAAGTCACGTAGATAAAAAAATTCAAGTTAATAAAAGTAAAATAAAAATAAAATAAAAATGACGACGATAGCTATCGTGCTGTGACGGTTCCACCTGAAGACGGAAGCTTGTGTTGCCTCCGAAACGTCCTGATTTTTATTTTATGTTTTATTTAACTTTTATTAATTTAAATTTCTTACCTACGTGACTTTACCGAAAAAACCTAAGAATATGAATCCTTGCAGTCACGAAAGCTTCAAATCTAGAATTAATACGTTTGAATTATTATTATTATGCATGTGCAGAACTGTCTATTTGTAAGGGCCACAACCAAACGTGAGATGGGCACCCTCAAAACCCCTTTGCATTCTTTAAAAACGTAACAAAAATGCGTTTACAAACATATCTTCACTTATCAACACATTTCGATTTAAAGCTTTCGTGACTGCAGGGATTCATCTTCTTGGTTCTTTCGGTAAAGTCACGTAGAAGGAAAATAATAAAATAAAATAATATTATTTTATTACTTCCCTTCTACGTGAATTATCAACACATTTTAAGACCAAACAAAGGTTCAATAAAAAAACACTCTGCAAATGTCTTGACTGTGCGATACCAATCGCATTCGCTTCATAAATTAGAAGATGCATAACATTTTCAAATAAATTAAACCTCTCTGTATTTGCTTATGATATTCTTTGCGAATATCTAATTCAATCAGAGCTCTGTAATGTAAAACCGTGACCGCGTTCTGTGATAAATGTGATGTATTTGAGAGAATGCTCGTTTCACAGCTATCATTTTGTATTTTGTTGGATAAAAAAAATACTAATTTTAAACGCTGTCATGAGAGAATGTTAGCTCACTTGCCAATACATTCCAGGGCATCGTATCATACGACAAAATGTTATGTCACATTTTTAATGCTCAAAATCTAATTTTCAAGCTGTATTACTGTGACAGCATTTCTAACAGCTGACCACTGCAGACCATCAATATTCTGCACGTCTGATGACAACAAGAAAATGTACCGCAAAATAAATAACCAATATTGATGAACATCTCAACCATAAAATAAGCAAAATTAACACAACAGCGCAATATAATACTGGCAAACAAGTGTTGTCTAGACAAAAAAAAGTCTAAATGGATATCGCAAGCCAATGTATAACTTGATCATCAAATTTTCAGATGACACTGCCAAGTGGCCAATATGTGTGATTTAACTAGAGCCTGGGGAATTATTTGCAAAGCTGAGCAAGCTGCCCAGGCTTTAGAGAACGGGCAAATTCCATGAAAAGAAAAAATAAAGAGGGAAAAAAAATACAGCAACAATAAAAACCTAATCGCAATGTTCCAGAAACCTACGTGTGCCGCCTGCTTCACTGTCGCGCACACGCGAGCTCTTACCTGACTTGACGCACCTGCTCACCGGCGCTGGATTCCCCGCACCCTCCCACCGCGCCGCTCACATTGCAGGCCCCCCACGGTCCTGCCACCCACACGTGCTGCTGGCAAGGCACGTGGCACGGCACCACCTCATACACCTGCTCGGCACACGGCTGCACACGGGACACCGCGGAGGGTGAAGGAAAGCTTCTGAGGGACACCCAAGGCCGACGGGAAAGGGGAAATTTACGCCACGAAAGCCTCGGCCAGCAGATTAAGGGGGCCGCTTTGCTCGAGCAGTCTGGTAGAGGTTGGCCCCAAAGTGTTCTGTGCCCAGTTCTAGGGATGTGAGAAAGCACTTTGCTGTTCGTGACAGGAAAAATGATTTAATTTATAGAATTTTATGACATTCGTTCTCAGAACAGATCACACGAAATAACATTAAAATCACATACGTAACTTTTACTTATGAGAGCAGTGTACACGAATGTTAAGTGTACTATGTTAATGCCACGCTCGGAGTTTTCAAATGAGCATAATAAATAACACGAAATATGCAAGCTCACCAGCATTATTTCAAGCAAATCTGATTGCTGATGAGACACATGAACGTCAAAACTGGTCCAGAATTTCGCTTGTATTGAATCAATGCTGCAAAATGATGCACTCCCAGAAGGCTGTGTGGCTAATGGAATGTGTTAACCACATTATATTATCTTCTTGGTTCTTTCGGTAAAGTCACGTAGAAGGGAAGTAATAAAATAATAAAAATAAAACATAATAAAATAATTCTCACGACGTTTCGGCCACAACGCAAGCAGCCGTCCTCAGGTGAAAGCAGCCGTCCTCAGGTGAAAGCAGGTCTGTCGCCTCGACAGACCTGCTTTCACCTGAGGACGGCTGCTTGCGTTGTGGCCGAAACGTCGTGAGAATTATTTTATTATGTTTTATTTTTATTATTTTATTACTTCCCTTCTACGTGACTTTACCGAAAGAACCAAGAAGATGAATCCCTGCAGTCACGAAAGCTTTAAATCGACATTATATTATCTCTTTGGAGAGGGAACTTTGGGAATCTAGCGTATTATTTGCGTGTTTTATGAGCATTAAAGTTGATTTAGCTGCGAGTCCTAATTATGGCTGCTTACTAAGTGCTTGTAAGGGGCAGGTTCGGAAGAGCAACAGAAAAAAACATGGTTATGAATTGACGACAAAAATTCAACCGCTACAATATTATGCTGTTAATCGATATGGGTACCAACAAAGCGACAGCAACTTCACTTGTTTCACAACCTAAAATATGCGGACAATAAGCCGACTCCCGTCTATGTGAAAAATTAATTAATACCTATGTAGCTATGCCAACATCGACAATTATGCTTTAATAGAAGATTAAACCGATTCGCCTAGGGTTATATTGGGTTTGTGCAAAAATACGTGGCTTGTTTTCAACATGGACATTGCCTTCACATCCATCATAAACTAATATAACTGGAAAGCGATACACTTTTACAGATTTTCATATTTTAGTAATTGGTGGCCTCAAGGTAAAATGCAAAAACTAGCTTATAATTACTTTACAGACCTAAGCCTCAATGGGTGCACAGAAAGGTATCTAATTATTTCAGGATGGTAACACATGCACAATTAAAACCTAGACAAATAATGGCTTTACAAACCTGCTAAAATAAGCAGTGTACTGCAGTTACAGTGCTGCAGTATTACATGATGGCTATTACATGTGCAATATATTATCAAACAACTCCTGATGCCATCAAATAGATTCCTAAACTCAAAATGCAAATAGAATGTTTTTTATGAGCTGCTTTTCAAATGCTATACAATGTAAAATAAAAACACACACACACTACCATCGCTATTTTATCAAAAATACCAACAAAAAAAATACTCAATCGGGATACATAAAAGTGGAAATACAAATTCTGGTACAAAGTGCAGTAATGCACATCATTGTAAACGCGGAAGACGAACAAGCTGATGTACAAACGTGAATGTTGACTTGTGATCGTGAGTCTGGCGCGCACAGGCAAGAAATGTTTATCTTCAGTTAATTGCGCACCGTTGTGTGTGTGTCATTGTAACACATCGGCACAGATGAGATGGGCATTCTAATGCGAGACATGTGGCAAAGCGCACCAATGCAGAGTGTGACATGCAAGGCGTGGGATTGGTGGTGGTGTTGTTGTTTTTTACATTCTCTTGCACCAAGGCACGCATTAAGAATCTGAAATGTGCAAAGTTGATTGTGAATGAACGCTGGAATTCCAGAAAAACATTTCACTCGCGCTGCACCGTGTGCAGAGTAATCTGAAACCGCACACATGCAGCCGTCACTATTTAATAGCAAAAGATTAAAGTACTAAGGGGGGCTGTAAAATAAATTCGGCACAGCCGACTGTAATTAGTAATAATAATGGCAGATTTAGATAGAAGCGTTATGGACAATAATCATATATATGTCACCTTCTTAATGCATGCCTCATTGTGGAGCCTTGGCTGTGTAAACACATATAGATGAGTGATGTGCATGTTCATAACTATAAAATTATAAATAAACAAATAAGAGTCTTCACAGTAAACCGATAAAGCATGTTCACACGTAATAGGCAGCTCCCTCACGAATTATAATTCCTGCAAACCCAACAGCAAGCGCACAGAATAGATTTGTTATGGAGAACATGAGAGCGGGTCAGATAAAAAGTTTATCCTCTTGAATGGAGCGAGCGAGAACGAGAGATGGCTTTGCCACCTGCAGCGAGATAACGAAGTGGACAGAAACACAGAGAGGTCAGCAAAGCGGCCTTCTAGCACTCTGCGCGTGACTGTGGCATGCAGATGTGGTCACCAACCTGGGCTTGCTGAAGGTCACGTCCAGAATAACAGAGAACATAAGGAAAAGATAAATAAGAAAAGCGGGTAACGACTTAGAGGGAAAGTGTCCAGGGCCAGAAGACGTCAAAACTGTAACGGACATTGCCACCGAGTAAATACCACACTTGTGCTCAACAACACAGCGCGATTTGGCGTAGACTTAAGGATAACGTTTTGTGAAACACACAAATTTACAGTGCATATATCGTGACCACGTGTGTATAAGACTAACAAGGTAAGGTCCAACAAAATGAAGTTACAGTCATGATTGTATTTCGATTTAAAGCTTTCGTGACTGCAGGGATTCATCTTCTTGGTTCTTTCAGGAAAGTCACGTAGAAGGGAAGTAATAAAATAAAAATAAAACATAATAAAATAATTCTCACCAGTGAGAATAATTCTCACCAGTGAGAATTATTTTATAATGTTTTATTTTTATTATTTTATTACTTCCCTTCTACGTGACTTTACCGAAAGAACCAAGAAGTCATGATTGCATTGAGAAATTCGGTAGCCTCTGAGTGACGGCAGTCGACTCGTGAGAATATCTCCTGGGGAGTCGAGCAGGACAGAGCAGCATGTGGCGCAGTGCCCTCCCTCATAATCACCGCCGTTGCACAGTGGGCAGTCGCAAAAATGACACTACCTGATACTATACTCTCTGGTTGATAATTGGTTTTTTACCCATTTATCTGGCAACAAAACTGACACCTTTTTTTACAAGGAGTCATGTTTGCATTGGCCACAATACCTGCAGTCGGAATGCAAACAAAAAACACAACTCTGATGATGTATGCACTGTCCTTGAAATTGATTGGTCCACACCCGAGACAGCTTTTCTTAGAGCCTAGTCTCACATGGTGTTGGACCAGATGACGCCAAAAGGCGCGTGTTTTTTGTTTGCATTCCGACTGCAGGTATTGTGGTCAATGCAAACATGACTCCTTGTAAAAAAGGTATCAGTTTTGTTGCCAGATAAAAGGGTAAAAAAACAATTATCTTATTTTGCTACTGGCAAAGGAGGTTCCAATACTCTCTGGTTCTTTCGGTAAAGTCCGTCATCCTCACCTGATGACGGGCGCTTGTGTTGCGACCGAAACGTCGTGTTCTTTTATTATTTTTTCTATCTACGTGACTTTACCTGATATTTATAATGATCACGATGCAGAGTCGGGAACTTGTCAATCTAAAGCTGGATGAATGTTTCCCCCACACTGTGCAAGTTTTTGGGGTTATTTGGACATATTTCACCATGCTGGTCAGTGTGGGTTGGTGAAGAGTTTGAGGGGTGGGGAGGGGGGTGAGGCAGCTGGTGTGGGCCAGGACAAATTCAGATGTCACTCACCATCGATGTGAGTTATGGACAAAAATCGAACTCAGGTGGTCGGATGCAAGTGCGCTAACCACTGCACACCATTGCTTCCACCCAGGGATGCGCTAACCACCACACACCATTGCTTCCACCCAGGGATAAAATGGGTGTGGGGACTGGGGAATCTGCCAAACACGGACAGATAAATGTTCGACTTGTTCAGTCGTCAAGCATAATAAAAAATAAAAAATAAAGTAAAATAATAAATAACAGGGGTGGGGGGCAAAGCAGGGCATGGGTGGGGGAGGAAGGTGGTGGGATGGAGGCCATTTAAGTTTTGAATCAGAAAAAGAAGACTTAAGGTTGTGGCATGTCATTGTGAAACATTAATCAGATGTAAATTAGTTTCATAATTAACACTGTGCATAGTGCCACTGTTTAAAAATTAAAACCGTTCATTTTTTCATGAATTGCTGTAACCTATGAAGACTGCACACATACTTGTGGCATCCTCACGTGAATTTTTTACTTTTGCCAACTGTAAATTCAAGTTATAATGTTGAACTGTCAAGACTTTCATAACCTGTGCAACGTGTTCATCTAAAATGTGAACACGTTGCACATTTAAAACTGCGGAATGTTCCCAGAAGTGTGACAACAGCAATATTTTCCGCACTTTTCAGGGCATGTAAAATGTAATTATTATCACTGGATGTTTAAGAATGATATTGAAAGCTACAGGGTATAAGGTTGAGTAAGCGCTGCTGCTTTCGTTCGAATATAAAACTGTACGCAACCAAGGTATGTGCACTTTATTTGCGTGCTGAAAGTGATATATGCATTAGACCGCCGCGCAATTATCACAAACTCTCATTATTCGATCTAGACTCCTGCTCGGCAACTCTAATCCCGATGCATTTCAATTTATGAGCGCGGTTCGATATGGTCTGGGACCAATGAATGTTTCCTGGAACACCTGTCCCAGGATTTTCAACACACGTTTGATTACTGAAAAGCTATTTTCTCCCCTCTTGATGCATTCTTCATATCGCTAGATCGATGCTTTTCGATCCTGAAGAAAATAAAACTGCCACGTGTGTGTGTGTGTGGCGACGTGTACTTTCAGAAGCGTTATAACCATTCTCGGACATTACTTGGAAGGTCATACTCACATCAGAGAGGCGGTTCTCATCACGTGTGCCTCGGTTTATAGAATAAAACAAAAGTATGATGGTGTGAGGTCAGCACTCCGGGGCAAAATAAGCAGATGGGAAGTGTCTTCCAGCCTGCATTGTGTACCTTAGCAGTAAGCCACGCGTCGCCACGCATAAACAGCGGTCCCTTTGCCCGGCCAACAAGAGCACATCTTGTTGGGTGTACACCGCAATGTTTAAACACTTGTCTATAAAGCACATGCCATCTGCTAATTGAGACTCCTGTTGGGAAATAGCATCTTCGGTGAATACTAAGCAATGAGACTCATTTTACACGACTGTGCACTGCAAGGTGGGGGATGAACCGAGAATTTCGTAAGTGCACTGTGACGTGGATGGGCTCTGGCGAATGCAAAAAATATTCAGGTTCATGCGGACAGTGAAAACTAAACAGTAACTCAGATGTTTAGAAACAAACAAATTAATAACTGTAAAGAACAAAAAATGTTGCAAAAAAATAATAAACAAAAACTGCGATTACATCGCTATGGGATTCTTTCACCAGTATCAAAATATTGATGGGAAGTAAAGTCTCTAACTGCTTGACTCGAGCTATTCATGCGTTAGTGTTTGCATTGTCCTTGCACTGCTCGCCTTTTGGTGGCCTTTAGTCTGGTGCTGGTGAGACAATGCCATAAGAGAGTCTGTCTCTGGTGCAGGCAAATCAATTTTAATGACAGTGCATACATTATTAAAGTATATTTATTTGCATTTTTTTTACCACTAGTATGTATGGTTAATGCAGACTTGGTGCCTTGTTATTGCCGTCAATTTGGTGTTTGAAGATCGAAACACGGGATTACATATTTTATCACCCTTGCAAGTACAGGTAAAAATGCTCCCCCATCGCACACAGTAACCGTGTTTGCATATATTTAAGAATACATAACATACTGCAGGAGCTCATTTTAGAATAACACCGATGCAGTGTTACCTGGAACCATCACTTGCACCCGGGGATGGGGGGGAGGGGCAGGTGCTCCCCGCCCCCCATCCCCTAAAATATTTACATGGCCATTGAATGTCGTAGACCTTTTTGATTTTTCATAAATGACGTAATACTCTTGCTCGGAAAACCAATGCGTAGATTGATACACGGTGAGCCAAACGCTCGCCTCCAGCAATACATAAATGCACCGCTGACCTCTGATGCAACCTTGAATGGCATTTACATCAGCTGGCCACATTTTATGAATCACGCAACTGTACTAGGCACCACCACTGTGTGCGCTGAGTGTGCATCTCGTGGAAGCACACGACATTTCTTTTGTTTATTTTCAAAAACCAAAATTCTAAAAAAAAACATTTAAGAGTTCTCACACTTTTTAATCTAGATAAAAAACCCATTTCTCTATCATTGCGTTTTGTGTTTAGTTTGTTGTCCTTTCCCCACACATCCGATTAGCATGCTTCGCTCCATACGGTGCGAAAGAAGTTTAACTTACATAGCTTTGGGTCTGTATCCCTTTTAAATTCATAAAAATAAGATGTTGTGCTATTGGTATCATAATATTAATGGGTACAGTTTTTATTATATTGTATAATTTTTCCATTCCAAAATAAATTTGGGGAAAAGTATGCAAGATGTGGTTATTTTGTTGTTGTTATTATCACCATCATCAGCCATGCTCAATCCACCACTGGATAAAGCCCTCCACAAGCTGACGGCATCTATCATGAAACCACGATGCAAACATGTACAGTATGTATGTATGTTGAACTTCTTTCGCACCGTATGTAGGCAATCGTGATAAACGGAGGTGCGGGAAATCCACAAAAGCTGATTCCAGTGCTCGGTCTCCTCAGTGGACGTCCTCTCAGTTGCGTTCTATTCCTTGGCTGGCACTCGGTCATTACTCTTGACCATTGTCCATAATCCCTTCTATCAATGTCTTCCATACCGATTACAGTATTAATACATAATTGAAATAAGAGCATTAACTTTAGCAGTATCCACAAATCCACAACGTTATTGTGACACATTTAAATGTACAATTTTATGTTTTGTCGTAGAAATAATGTCATGAAGCTGTCAGCCTGCTGAATAACATGCCTTGTTATCTCGGACGCGCTCTCTGATCAGCCCTTCTTCTATCAGTCTGTTTGTTGAACCAATTTTACTGTCGGAAAATGCAGACACTTAAGTGCAGGTACGGGCCAACTATGCCCCGTCCCGTAATGAATAATTGATTGCAAATAAAGCGCTTCCCTTTGTACTTTGAAGGTCTCTGTTCTGTCGACATCTCTTGCCACGCAGACCGCTCAGCGCTGCGATAACTCACGACCCAGGGCGGCCACAGCCTGGAAACTCATTTTTACTTTGCCGGCGGCACGGGCAGCCTTTCTGGGCGACTGCGCGCGTCGAGAGAGATTACTGCGCACACATCGTCTCTCGCCCAGGGGAAAGGAATTAAAATTTTACGGCAATACGCAGGGTAGGTGGTGAGGCCCTGCGGCAGCTCGAGAAGGTGGTAAGGGCGGGGGGAAGTTCGCAGACGGCAGTTGACAATTGATTGGAGAGCAAAGGTCACGGCAAGTGGGCATAGGTGGTGTGATGCTGCAATTGATACGGGTAGAGACCAGTTCATAATGAGTATTGCACACCTACTGTGAAAGCCATCAATATTTTTATCTTGGTATCAATGCAGCTGGCATAAATAACTGTCGGGCACAATTGTAAATTGCAAAATAATGGGAACGAATGTAATGCAATTATTTTAAAACATTTCCATAATTAAATTAGAAAGAAAGTCAATTTTCAGCTCCTCTAATGTACATGGCAGTGAAGTGTACTAATTAAAAATACAGGTTATTAGCATGCCACGAGTGCATCAGCCTATTACTACCATCAAGGTATAATTCACCTGGCCAATTGCATTTATAATCAATTGGGTGATTGTGATTCAAGTACCATCCTTGTCTAATCCTTAAGTTTAAGCGTAGAATACTCTTTGCAAAAAATCAGTGGATTGAACAAGAATGTGTAAAACACTACAGATAGATGTGAAAGTAAATGAATAATAGCAACAGGAAAGGAAGCTGGATTTTTACGTGGCAACAAATAGACGGGGCGTTGGTCCATTTTAATATTTCGATAAAGTCATCGTTATGGGGTTTGATTGTTTTTTCAAGTCTATGTCCGTAGTATGTGCCACGTCGACTTGCACCTTACCTGGTTTGTGTGATCCAGCTTTGGGCAGGGCCTCCCGCCGTTGAAGGGCTTCTCCCGTAGCCACTTGGAACGCACCTTGACACCCGAGCCACAGGACTTGCTGCAGGGCGACCACCCAGACCACTCACTCAATCGGCAGTCTGACGGGCAGGCCACCACACACGACTCCTCCTGGTGAACTGAGAGATGGGACGGACACGAACAAGGACAAGTATTCCCACGTGGAGTATTTCGCGGACGACTGGGAAACGTGCTGTGAGTGAGCACCTGTTAAGCTCAGCACTGTGCCTCTGAGGGTGGTCGTGACCAGTACCACGCCTGGCTGCCTTTGTCTCCCGTGACTGGGAATTGAACACAAGTTGCTAGATTCATAGCGGAGTGCACAAACCACTGTACTCCCGCTCCCTATGGACACAACATGCATACATACACTCACATACGCGAACATACCCATACACGCCAACAAGCATACGAACAAATACAAAGATCCTCCATATATCCTTTACCAGACTGCTTGGGCAAGTGCTGTTGACTCGCATGAACATAGCCTGTAACAGTGCTGTTAGTGAGCACCGACTGTATGTGAAGGTCAACACAGCACACCAGGGGGTGGGTGAGTCTGCCCAGTGGCTGATGTTTACACACTGCACCAAGTACTCATTTTACGGCTGAGTCGACCTAGGGGAAGCTTCGCACCAGTCATATATGCCACTGTTATTGGTTTTGAGTGGGATTAGAACTCGGGTGGCCAAGGTTAGTAGCGCAATGCGTTAAAACCACTGCACCACCGCTCCCCAAAGACAAAGACACGCTAACAAACGCACCCACACACACACACGTGTGAACACGTGCACACTGAAATATCTAAAAACTAAAAAAATGTAATACGAAGCAGGAGAAGGACATTTAATCAAACCTGAAACTTGTATTAACACGAGGAGGCAATTGATATGAGGCACACCATGTAGAGCTGTAAAAATGAACCCGTAAAAACAAAGTTTTTCACTATAAATCCTTTATATGCGTGGCGGCTAGAGTCCTCTCGTCCTCTGGCTTGAGATGGCTGCCACCTATGAGTCAGATGATTGCATTGCACCATTAAGCAATTGGTAATTAAATATAATATTTTTATCCTAACATTAATTGTCACGCACAACGAGTCTGTGTGCAAAATGTCAGCTCGATTGGATCACGGGAAGTGGGTTAAAAATCGACCGAAAGATTTGCACGGTCCTAAGCAAGCAAGCGAACTTAATATAAAGGATTTAAAAAGGCAAACGTTCTAAAACAAGGTGGCACACGGCCTCTCTCCACACCATAAGTAAGAAGGTCGTGATGAATGCCTTCTAACAATATGCGGACACCCGCAATTGATCTACTTTGCATATTTATGCCTCTGCCAGGTCTCCAGGTAAAATATGCTTCGTATATTTTTAGTGAAAGAAATCATGGTGACAGTTGCCTCTTCGTGCCACAGTCCTGCTCCGCAGTGGAAGCAGTGCTGCTGCTGCCACTGCTGCAGCTGCCACAGTGTCAGTGTCGTGATGGCAATTGGGAGGCGTCTCAAAGAGCATGGCAAAATAATGATGGCAAGGAATGACATACAAGAGACAAAGATCCCCCGTATAGCCTACATGGGATGTTTGGGCAAGTGCTGTTAGCGAGCACCTATAAAGGCTGGCACGGTACACGAGGGAGTGGGTGGCCAGTACCACACCTGACCGCCTTTGTCTGCCCAGTGGTGGTGTTTGAACACCACCCCAGGTCCTCATTTGAGGCTGAGTCAACCTAGGGGAGTCTCAGGACCGGTTGGCCATGAGCAGTGCATGCACACACGCAAGCAAGCAACCCTGGGAGCCACGAGTACCTTTTAAAGTTACATTTGAAGACTTTTACATTTTGGAAGGCTATCTGTTCAGATGCATTTTACACATTAATCTCAATAATGTTTTCTTTATTTTACAATTAAACTTTTTTCTTGTTTCAGACATTGTTGCTTCTGTTTTATTGTTCATATGTTTTAAATGATTGTTATTAGTCGGTAAGAGATTTAAGTCATTTGTGGCTCAATAAATCAGAGCTGAGACTATGAATGCTCAGTTATATGATTTTTCTGTTCAACACCAATCACATGCACTTTAAGGAGGAATACAATTATGGTGGTGGTGGTGTTGTTATTGGTGGCTGTTGGTGGTGCTTGTTATTTTATTGTTGGTGGTTGGTTTTCTGGGACTGCTCTTGGTAGTAGTGCAGTTAGTCCTAGTGTGCTGTCGGCGTTGCTGTTGGTGGTATTGGTGCTGGTGCAGGTGGCGGTGCAGGTGCTTGTGATGGCGATTGTTGCTATGGGGGTTCTGTTGCTGGTGACAGTGGTGCTAGCTGTAGTGTTTTTGGTTGGAGGTGCAGGTCGAATTGGCGTTGGCCTGCTATTAATAAATACGATTTCTCGCACTGGGAAATGTTGGTGGCTGGTGCAAATGTAGTCAAAGGTGGTGACGCTGTTTTTGTTGCCAGCGCCAGCGGCCGCTCTTCTCACCAGGAGAAGCACAATTGCCGCCCTCCACCAGCCGGCCCTGCTGATCGTAGCACGCCAGGGCCCGATAGCGTGTGCCTTGGCCACAGTCGCCCGTCTCCCTGGGGGCGCTGCCGGGTCCCCGGCTTCGGCCCCTTCCCTCGGGCAGCAGGCAGTCGGACCAGGGCCCCACTGGACGGGCCGAATACTCGCGGCAGGGGCAGGTCTGCGTGTCCACCTGGGGGTACAGCTCCAGGTCCTTGCACTTGTCCACGCGGCGGCTCTTGCCTTCAGGAATGGGAAAGAGATGGCGACGCAGTGGCATCGCACAATATGCGTGGCGCAAATACAGGATCGCGTTATTTAAAGCACACATACACACATAAATGTATGGAAACTGCCATATATTCGAGTATTTAAATTTGTATTCGAGCTAGGCTTTCCAATTATTAAAGTAATCGCTTCCTCTTTCTTTACTCAACTAACGATTGCCCTACCAATTATTAGTTTTATTCCTCAACCAGTCGGATGACACAAACGTAGTTGAGAGAAAAGTCTCTTTTGTGTTCCCACTTGTGCTGCTGGATGGGAGGTGATGGACGGGGCATGGTGACAACATCCACATCCATCAGCCCATTGTCATGCCGTTCATAGCTTGCCTGCCGTCGGGAGGCAGAATGTGGGGTGGCTGCCTTTTCTTTTTACAGGAACCAGAGTAACCGACCACGCGAATAGTCGATTACAGTTTTTATTGGATTCATCAGCCTTATCGACTAATTACCCAGCGCTAAAGTTCATTAACTTTGAGATAACTTAGTTATTCGTACATATATGCATAGACACATGCGTGTGTTGTTTTTTTACTTAGAATCACACTGTAACAAGATTCTTATAGATTTTTGTTCCTTAAATTCTTAACCATACTTCATAGTCCCTGTTATGTAATGGTATTTTTTTCAATCTTTCTAAAACGTGATCGTTGAAAGGTTGCGAATTTAAATTCTTTTCAGAAGTCAACAAAAGCACGTCACTCTTCTGGGGGTGATAAAATGAGTTCCTACTTTGTGGAAATTCTACAGCAGATGTCCAAATGATTGACTCAACCCCACCATAGAAATGTGAAATTTCCACCACTAGCTAAGGACTGTAAATAAGAGACATCGTTGTTTGAGTAGGAAACCACTGTGATTGTTTTTAGGACAAGCAAGAAATACTTTCCAAAGAGAATCAGAAGAACTACAGTATATTGCATGTAAACCTACCAAACACTATACCAGTGCAACACCACTGTAGGAAAGTAAAATATTGATGCAAAAAGTTAATTTACGCATTCATCAACCAAAAATATGCACATGCTAAAGGAGAACGGCATGTTTTATAATCTCATGTAATTTCCAAAATGAGTTTTATTTCTGTGATATATCTCATGCATGTGATAATGTAGGACTTTCATTTCTGGTGAGGTTACATATTTTTATCAGTAATATATGAAAACGTACATCTCAAAGTATTTGATCACAAGAAAGTAAATGCATTCATCAGTGTGCTCTATAACCAGGTCAGAGTCCATTGCGACCGTCTCTCTTGCAAGCGAGACGTGGGTCAAATAAAACAATACAATAAAGAACAACACTCAACGTATATCGTGACGGGTAATTGATGACCATATAAAAGGGATAAAGGTGCAGCCCTGCAGTTTCTTGCTCATGCCGCTGATGACATAGCCTTCAAGACAGGGAGCTCTACAGAACCCCTCGAGGGTATTTTGGCCTACTCTTCCACGCTAGCCAGGCAGAAGAGGTGGGAGTAGCCACACTTTACCCCACCACACGTGGCCTGCCGATGATTAATGGTGGTATACCGACTTAGACTGTTGAGTGGACTAAGGTGGAATTGAGTGGATTTCAGGAATGTGTCGGTTGTTTCAACTGATGTGCCAGCAGGCTGAACCAGTGACCTCTGTATCGCAAGTCGAGTGTGCTAACCATTACACCTCGGCAGCATCGTAACAACCATGTACGAAATCTTAAGTCCCATTAGAACGTGGCACAATAACAACAAGAGCAATATCAATGTCGGAATGATTTCATACTTGAAATAAGATAGGTGCATTAAGGTTTAAACACACCGTTTCGCCTTGGAGTTATTCACTGACACTCGAAAATAATTGAGTCAAGTCTAAAATAAAATAATCTCTCCCACTGTAAATAGACATGGGGGAGCATGCATCATGTATTGACGGTCCTGAAGTCGTGGTGGAAATGCCTCATTCCTCTGTAGGGGTCGGTCATCCAATATGGATGGTACTTGTTTTATCAACCTGAGAGCAATGTCAAAGAGATGACATCGAAATGACTTTGATAATTGTCTTAAGACAATACATCCTAATTTATGCTTAGTAGTTTTATGATTATTCACTCCCAACTCATGGAAACTCAAGATGAGTTGTTAATATTTATGGTCACAATTGGAATAAAGAATTTAATATCTTTTGTCTCATGAATGCAGTCTTGTTTTATTCCGTATTTAAACTCTTTATCTTGTTTGTTATATTTTCCTGTTGGTATATTACACATATACTTTGTATAGAAATGTAATTTGCATTAAATAATTGATTCTTGTAGGTTAATGTATAACATTATAAATAAAATGTATTAAAACGTTGAATCAATGTAACCTATTATACAGCATATATTACAAATATAGCAAAAACCAGCACTGAACTTTCTAGGCCCGTTAACATCAATCAGACGGGAGTTTTAGTTTTCAGGGTTGTAATGTGTCACGTTGGCATGGCAATGTCAATTGATTTGAATTATCTCATTAGATTAGACTCATTTAAAAATGATGTGCATGCGTGTCATCATGCCAAGCTGCTCAAATAGACATACATTATTCAACGAAACCTCTACAATAGTTAAGTTATAAACTCAATGTCCCACATCCTGAATGTGCAGCATTTTATCAAACAAAGCGATATGAGGAGCAGTTGGTGGTCGCGCAGTATTTAGTACAAAATGCTCAATCCTGGCGACCTGCGTTTTATTCCTGGCCATGGCTGACACCACTGGCAACTAATACTGGTACGAACCTCCTGGTTACACCAGCCCACAGGGGATTATTGTGTCCGTCGTGCAGGGAGGGGCTGGGTGGGGAGGGGAGGGTGGGGAGGGGCTGGGTGGGGAGGGTGGGGCTGGGTGGGGAGGGTGGGGAGGGGCTGGGTGGGGAGGGTGGGGAGGGGCTGGGTGGGGAGCGTGGGGCTGGGTGGGGGGTGGGAGGGGTGGGGCTGGGTGGGGAGGGGCTGGTCACCCCGTGGTGCCCTTATAAAACTCAACGTTTAACCTACTCACGCCGGCTTGTGCCCGCCCTCACAGTCGGGCATATTTGCGGAATACACCACGCCGCCGTTGACCCTGGCCATTGACCGAGCAACCCAACGTTCCTACCAGCAGCTCCCTCCGCAGGAATATGTCATCTCAACCTGTCTTGGGCCCCCTGTTCACCAACTCACATTGCCCAGCTTGGTGAAGTATGGTCAAACAACCCCCATAAGTTGATCCATCAATATATCTGTAAAGTATTACTATTATCAAGCTGTGTGAACAGTTTACCGTACATTTCAAAGGTTGTTACAGAATGTGATTAGATATTATATAAAAAAAACTGGCATGGAACAAAGTATTGTATCCTCTCTTTTGTAATATGAATGCAATTGTATTTTAGCATAATGCAAATGACTGCTTAAAAACATGACAATTTTAGAAACATTGCTATAGTTATGCAAACAAACAACACGTAACAAAACAAATCCGAACACCAAAAAGGCTCAACCACTGCATCGAGCAGTTCTTGAGTTTTTTTTGGGGGAGGGAACTGCATTGCCGGTCAATGGTAATGCGGTGAATGCTGCAATTCAATCTCCGGCACTAATTTTTTTTTTAGTATACCAGCCGGGCAAACGCGGGCGTTCCGTAACGAGCACTGCTCAGGAAGTGTAAAATGTGCTGGCTGGTGTATGTGCATGCACTGCGCTGTATGCCATACTAATAGAGAGTGCGATAACACGCACCCCCACGGGTTACACTAAACTAAGAGCAGATGCCTTAAAATTGTGATTACATCAGGGCAGCACAGCCCCAGAGAGTGCTCTGGAGGAACAGATGCTGGAGTCACATTAGCCATGATCATATACGTCCAAAAAGCGAGCAGATGCGAATGTGCTCCATTACCCTCTATAGGTTTATGTTAGTTTTGAGAGAGCTTAGAGGAAACAAGGCCATGAATAACTGTTTATTTCTCCTTCGTGAAAAATTAGCAACATTTAGAGACCCCCCACCGATGAATTAATAATGCGCATGCTGTTCATAAAATACAGATCCCAACCTCGAGAAATACACATTTATAGCCGAGTGCTATTTGTTCGATCTAAATAAATGACAGTGAATGATAATAATTGACATCCCTTTACTAATCCACTGCTGGATTATGGTCTGTCATGGGGAATGTTTGACCATATTTCACCACATCGGTGTGACACAATCGTACTAATAGACAGCCATGCACGTCCTTTCCTGACCTCACTTGAAAGCAATGTTATACACTGTGGTTGAAAGGGACCCCTCCCCAGGACCTGGTCAGATATTGCTCACCACTGAACTTAGTCATGGCCAGCAATTGACCTCAGATCGTTAGGTTTATAGCAGTTTGCTAAACACCACACCACTCCTCATAAGAAATCTGTGTACAGAATTTTGAGTCTGTTCAGAAATTAACTAAATCAGACATTAATGTACTGTTTGTTTGAATGTATCGCATAAACACACACACACATACACACTTTTGGAAACAGCTTCGAGGTATAAAATGCTTTCACATCTGGTCTGCAAAAATACGCGCGTGGATCTATGTGGCTCAGGGGCACACTTGTAAAACGTATGGGTCATTTTCTGTACACCATTAAGCAAGCCTGTATAGGTGATTTGCTGGTCGGGCTACAAGACAAAGGCAATTAAGTTTATTTTATAAACTGATGAAGTATTATAATTGTTTTTTTACCCTTTTATCTGGCAACAAAACTGACACCTTTTTTACAAGGAGTCATGTTTGCATAGACCACAATACCTGCAGTCATAATGCAAACAAAAAACATAACTCTGATAATGTATGCACTGTCCTTGAAGTTGATTGGTCCACACCCGAGACAGCAAAAAAGGTGTCAGTTTAGTTGCCAGATAAAAGTGTAAAAAAACCAAATATCATATTTTTTCTTCTGCCAAATGAGGTTCCAATGGTGATGAAGTATTCGTATTTTAAGATCAACTTCACAGGTGCATCATCTGCCGCGATCAATTCACTGCTGGATGAAGGCCTCCAAAAGCCGTCGCTATATCTCTCATGGCCCTGCGATGTAACAATCTGCCTAGCACCTCAGAAGCTTGATTTAGACGGGAAGAATCTGATGAGCTATGAAGCTCGTTTTTACAGATGTCCAGTAAGGGGCGGGTCAGAAATTTACAAACAATACAAAAGCCGCTTTAATCGCTTCGGACATTGTCCCTTCTAGTAACGAGTCGTGCCCACGAACGTTCACTTTTCTTTACAGTTTTCATTTTGTCTCGAACCTGTCTGTGTGTGTGCGTTCTCTAATCTACGTTTCTCTCTGTCTCTCAAAATAATTTGAAGCGTGCATCTGTGCATCATGGTTCTTTGTGCACTTTTCAGCTTTTGTTGGAAAAAGTGTCAATATCCATGTTTCTGATCCATATTTCAAAAGCAGGTCAAACTGTCTTATGTAGCAACACAGGTATGTTGCTTTTCACTATCAAGTTAGGTTTTCCAAAAGCACTGGAACTCACTCTCGCTCACCTCTATTTAATCAACATGATCTCGTTCTAACTTCAATAGCTGTTCTCGGTATTCATATTCGAATGGGTATTGCAGTTGCGTTCCCTCGACAGATAAATCCAATTGTGTCGAGAACTTGTTTAGCACGTGACTTTTGCTTTACTCATGTGTACATTGAATCCATCTTTGCAGCCTTCCTTATTAAATTATTCGAAGATCTTCTGTAGCTCATTTCCAGTGGATATTAAAAGTTATACCGCTGATTTCTCCATTTATATTATACATTCATTTTTCCAACTGAATGTTTGGAAAACATCTAGAAGAAAAAATATATATATATACTGGGAATCAAAACGTTGTTTAGATGAAGAGGAGGAATTTCCAAGCAGGGCTCAATTTCATCCAGGCCCATCTATTTGGACAGGGGCCTGGAATGTATTTCCACACCCAGCACATCACTTCCAGTATTGTTCTCGTTATGGCTGTGGCTACTCGTGGTTTGCCACCTACATCAGTCTACCAGCAAATGAGAAATAAAAAAATGTACATTCCTGGCACACCATATCCAGCATAACTTTCACTATGGCTGTAGCTACCATTTGCTTTCCACTCCAGTCTACCAGTGAACCAGAACATATTTACATCCTATATCCCTCTCAATATGGCTGCTAATTGCTTGCCACATACTCCAGAGTACCGGCCACCTGAGAATATATCAGTGAGCAATTAAACCCTGTGAAAAAAGGACACGTTTCCCTTCACAAGAATTAGAAAGCTCCTGGACAACAGTTTGTTAATGGATGCCAAAGCAGGCTAGCAGAGTTGATAGACTAGTTCCAATTCCATGCAGGGTCTTAACATTTAGGCTGTGATGGAGGAAGGGCATTGGTAATGGCGAGTTCAAGCAGAAAGCATGGGAAGGTCACGCAAAGAAGTTACACCTAATATAGTCGAGCTGATGTATGTGCTGCAGTGCGGGAAAGCAACACTTGCAGTGCGCAATGCATTATTGGAAATACGCAGGAGAGTAGAATTCCGATTCCTGTGGATTCCTTCAATTTAGCTTGTGGCATGCTCTGTCAGTTGGGCATGACACTGGGGTTTGGTTTCAATCTTCGGTTTTATATGCGAGTTAATGTCCTAGTTCAGATCGTTGGTCAGTGATGACATCCTTAATTTTGGTCAATACCCGTAATTTGTTTCTGTGCCCTTGGTTACAGCTACAATCCCTGCTTTTGGCTGAAGTCCCCAGTGTCGGCTGTGTTCCTTGGGATCTTGAGGCAAGGCCCCTGGATGTCGGTATTACCGAGCCCCTCATTATGATATGATCCTTGTCAAATATCGAGTGCTCTACATTGCTCACAAGGTAGTTTAATCCTCAAAGGTAATATCGCAGTTTTGGGAGTGGCCAAAAAGATTAATTTTTCCCCATTTACACAGCCAAATCTCTGCACATTAAATAGCGAATTTTTATTATTAAAACTGCGTATTTGGATAAAAGAGAATAATAACAGATTACATGTATTCAAGAGAATCCTTTGATCTCCGTTCACATTTTATAAATTTAATCTACATTCTGGAGGGATTAAAGCTCCCCCCCCCCCCACTTCTAGCAGAATGAGCAACTTTACTGAAAAATGTAAAGTACAGTAATTAACTTTTTTTGAATGTACGAATGATTAACAGTATTTGCTGCGAATGTCTCCGTGTGCCAATGCATTTCCATTAAGTGGGTCCAAGGGATTTTAGGAATTAGGAACACATCAGTGCAAAGTGCTGCCGTGGGATTAACAAGCTGAGCGTGAGAGCATGTGTGCGGGGAGCAGTGTGTCGATAACACGTGCTTTTGCGCCTTCGCATCTGTAAATACACATTTAAAGCAGCGCAGGTTTTTAATCAGGCTTACAAGGCCCCTGTGGGAGCAACCCCTCCGGTGGATTATAATACAAATGCTGCTGACAAAACGCTTCGGCCAGCACCACCACTACCACCACCACCCCACACCGCCACTGCCGCAGCAGCCAGTTACTCATCACTAAGGACAGTTGGTTTGTCTATTAAAATTGCCTCCATCTGTACAGTTAGTTCCACAGGATTATTTGCCAAATACGAATCATCTCAGCGCGGCGCATAATAGAGTGGTGTCGGCTTTGCTCCGAAATACATAAATCATGCAAACTGCCTGCTGAAATAAAATAAATAAAAACATTTCTCTATCTCTTATGCCATTTTGTTCATAACAATATAACAACACTGTAAAACCCGGAATATGGTAAGTGTGGTAAAACAAACAAAACAGAAACTGAAATACTAATAATAAAATAATAAGCCGCTTCGTGATTGAGGCGAGGTGACCATAAACTTTACAATTGTGAACAAGCTATTATGGAAATTAGTTCTAGACAGTAATCGTGAATAACATCCCCTGAAATTAGGGACAAAATTATTGTTGGAGATTTGAAAATAATCATGAAGGTGATGATTTCATTGGAATTGTGATTTTTAAATGGTCTTGATTCAACCGAGTCAGATGTGGGGCTTGCTGTCGAGGGGAGTGAGATGTTGGGGATAACGAGAATACAGAGTAGCAGCAATTTCTACTTTTTATGCCATTTCGGAGGATGGAGGAAGGTGGTAAGGACCGAGGACTGGGGGACATAGGACAGAGGGCCAGATTTCGGTATCTATGCTCCTAGGACATCAGAGCAGAGAAGACCTTTCCCTCCTCCTGCCCGCTCCTTTACAGAAGGAATTAATGAAGGTAGCAAAGGTCGCAGAATGGCTGGGTGGCACAGTGGTGACACTTGTGTCTCGCAGCAAGGAGCGCCTGGGTTTGATTCCCGACCAGAGTTTATATGTGCTCTCCCTCTTCTGCATGGGTGTCCTCTGAGTCTACTGCTTTCTTACCATAGCTATACAAAAAAAAACCCGTAAAATATAACGAGCATAGGCCACATTTCTCAATGCTGAAAAATTACCTGAAATGATCAAATTGAGATTCAACGAAGCAACATCGTCCCCAACTGCGACAACCTGGCAGGGCCCTCGTAAAAAAGTGTCCTGAGACACAGTGAGACTTTACTGGGTAAACAAGTGTAATAATAATAATTAGTACAGTATCAATTTAAAGCTTTCGTGACTGCAGGGATTCATATATATAGTACAGCATCGTTTATATTCTCCATACAAAAAAATCTAAAAGGCATAACAGTCGTATTTCGCTACATAAACAATACAATGCATAGCTCTGCATGGGGTCCTCTACAGTTCTGGGCCTTGGGCAAATGTCCCATTTGCTCCTCACTTTGTCAAACTCTGATGGGAGAGAGGGAGGGCAATGCCATGCCTGGTGCCAGTGAGGCCAAGTAACAAGACATCAATATATTCACTCATGTACTTTATTTACAACTATGTGACAGTCCATTATGACTAACCATATCTTTTTCAAGGAAACCTGAGTCAGAGAAAGCAGTTCAGTAAACACGTGATACACCTATGACATTTTGGCGAATTTAGACATTATTCTGAGCGGGTGCAGGGGGCGACAGTCAGGAAGACTGAACTGTTACATTTGCTGAGCAAACGTCTAATAATTAACATTAGCCACGGTCAACTCACTGGCCTCCTCAAGGTCACTGCCACCTCTCACAATCTTGCGATCCAACAATCCATCAAGCACCTGCACACGAGCTGATTTCATCGCTCCATCTCTGCAGGATTAGTCCTCTCTGATCCGTCCCATTCCTTGACTGCCACTCTGTTGTTCATCTTGACCATCGGCTATCATCCCTTCCAATATGACAACAAATTTTATATTCCCAGAGCCTCACAAAAAAAACTTTTTCCCATACTCTTACTCTAGAAACGTGTATGTTATGATGACGATGGTGACGAGCATTCTGTATTTAACAGCTCTAAGCGTGGAATACATATAAAAAATCGCGTTAAAACGATTTACTATTCTTGACCATCAGGCCATCGTCCCCTTCTATAGCGACGCGCCCCAAAGAGCGTTGTTCGATGACGACGCCGACGCCGACGATGACGACGTAACATCAAATGGGGCCGCACGACGTACCGAGGAGGGATCTCCTTCGCGAGCGCGTCGAGCCGCAACCGCCGGTGCAGGCCGAGAAGCGCGACCAGGCACTGAACGTGCACTCGTGGCGACAGGGCACGCGGCACGCCTGCGACGGGGCCGGCGGGGCGCCCGCGCCCGCCAGGCACAGCTCGGGGTCGACCTGGCTCCCGTCCTCCTGCCGGCAGGTCACAGCTGAGGAGGCGGGGGGGGGGTAGGATGGGGTGGGGTTGTGGGAGGGAGTGGAGGGATCAGATGCACGTATATTAAGACAACACGTTTCAGGAGAGACGTTCAAGTTTGGGAGCGAGGCGTGTGATGATGGAAGCTTAAGGACACTTGCTTTATCAGTGGTACTCGCGCAGGTAAAAGTAAAATATCAGCACATTTATCATTAGCACCGCCTTCGAAGAGCAAATATATTAGGCTAGGATATCTGGCACTTGCCCTTCTTCTCTGAAATGTGATTATTTATTTCGTTATTGACTCTGGTGATGCATTTAGTTCAATACAAGATACTCATCACAACATTTTCCAAACATTTCCATGCAGAGTATTTCCATGCAATTAGAGACTTTGATACCAATTCCTCCCTTAATTCTGATATGAATGGGCTTTCTTTCATATGTTAATCGCGTGTTTGTGTTTTTTACACGATTATGTACTTTTAAATTCTAGTGTTTTATTAGATCATAGGCAACTTGGCTTTAAGCTAGAATACCACTGCTTATACGTTCACAGTAAAAATCACACTATGACTTCATGAGGATATTTATTATTTTCATTAACAATTTAAACATTGACAACTGTGCCTAGCAACTGACAAATTCTATATTTACATGATGCATCCTACAATTTTGCATTGTGCAGTGTTTGCAGCATTCCGCAATTATAGTTTTAATTTTACCAAAATAATTACTGTTACCAGGTCTGTCGTACATGTGAACCCAGTAAGTGAATAATGCGAAATGCACACACAGATTAATCAGGCCATGACAATGTAGTCATGTTTTTATTGACATTTTAAAACAATGGCAATATATTTTCCACGACTGTCTTTTCTGTAATTTAAGAACTGGGTAATACAATTAGCAGAATAATTAGCAGTAACAAAAAGCATTAACATTTGAAGAAAAATTGTAACATAAAGTAAAAATGTTTAATTGAAATTAAGCCCTGCAGGAGGCAGGCACACAATTGGAGGTGCCTGCGTTGAAAGAGTCTGATGTCAACGGTGAAAAACTGCTTGGCTCTTTGAGACACCAAAAACCTGCAGCAGCTTTGCAATAATGACTCAAAACAGATACATTTCTTTAATGGCCTTCTCATGATGATTCAGCTACATAGATGTGTAAAAATGTGACTATAAATCCACGTGGACAATTATACAAAATACACAGTTAACTCCTGGGTAATCTCTGGGTGGATTATTCAGGTTGTGAATTCACTTTACTTTTGAAAAAAAAAGGATTGGAAGTAGAATACTGAGCATTTAACACTAATTCGTGCCTTTTCCACACACACTGCGTCTATTAATACCTGTTCCCAAGTCATACATCAGTGACCTATTCCTTTGAGAAATAATGAAAACGCACTCGCATTCTCAACCTTCACTCTCATTCTACGTGGGTAAAAAAGAAATACGTGTTAAAAGTCTAAGTCCATGTTTTTTTCACTATCTGTGTTTAAAATTTTGATTGAAATTTTGATTTAAAGCTTTCGTGACTGCAGGGATTCGTATTCTTGGTTCTTTCGGTAAAGTCACGTAGAAGGGAAATAATAAAATAATAAAATAATACAAAATACAATTCTCACGACGTTTCGACTGCAACACAAGCAATCATCATCAGGTGTGAAATCCACAGCAAGAAAATTGAAAAAAGTGGCAGTTTTTTCTTAACGTCAGCACCACGGACAGCGATTTGGCAGTTGGTCAGATGGACGAGTCCATCTATGTTCGGAAAAGAGAAGGGGAGAGGAAGAGAATGGAATGCGGTCTGAAAGTCACCGTAAGCGTGAACACAATCAATTAAGACCCGAAATGGTTTATCAAATCCTTCAATGATTGCTAAGCCAGATTCCATCTGTGTTTTGTTCAACGCCCTCTACCCCACCACCCACACCTCCACTCATCCCTCCACATTAACCCAGATAATTAAGAGTAGGCTGTTGTACCATCATCACAAAAGTGATCTGAATTCAGGTAATACTTTGTGAGTATTGAATTTACAAACAAGTCAAGTCTGTGACAAACAAATCCTAACTGGTGGAAATCTATTTTAAAACGTTTGGTTGCATATTTTTTGCATTGATCTATTATTTAGAAAGCTAGCACATGCCAAGAATAATGCTACAGTGGCGTCTTACTCATTAAACATTTACAATTATGCCGTTACCCTTTCAAAAGCATTTTACACAAATCCTTTCGTTTCAGTGATCATATCGTTCATAGTTGAATTTCAGAAATTCCTCTATATGTTTGTATGCATTGTGTATCTCTTGCCAATGGATTAATTTCAATCCTATGAACGCACTCATGTACATTTGTGGTAGATTAACTAAAAATTCAGAAAGAAAATTTCTATCAATCCATTCTCCGCACAAGCTTCACTCACACGTGCAAGCCATAAAGCAGCCAAGCCTGCCAATTTCTAATTTGGCAAGCCCAATGACTCATTACAGCCCGATGATATGTTAATACATGTAAAATTAACAGCCAGGACATCATTTAGGTATTAACGAGAACAGTGGAGTGACACAATTGACTCTATGACAACCGCACTTAAAACCGCTAAAGCCAGACGTTAATGCGACAAAATAAAACAAAAAGCAATTACCGCTTCTGCGTAGCTTTGCCGTCTGCTCTTTTGTCAGACTAACCTGTGAGCATTATCAGATGATCACCGTGTACCATCGGTGAATTCTAACAGAAGCAATGGTGTCATGAAGGTAGCAACATCATCGCAGCACACACACACACGGTGGGGTTTTAACTGCTCAGCACCCATCCCCCTCCTTTCAAACTGGGCGCTAACACCCAGCCTGACATTATTATATATTCAAGATGCATCGGCGCATGGGGCTGAGGAAGTGGGTTCCCGTGTGTCGAGGCACTCGGCACATGAGGAGCCACTTCCACATTAGGCCATTTAAACTCGATTTGTGCGAAATGAGAGAGGGGGGTCAAGCACATCAAACGGTGCTCATATGCATCGGTCTAATGCGATGAAATTCCACCGTACAACATGGCTTAATATCAAGGAGTTTGACTTTTCATGTATTTGTTCACTGCAATGTCACACAAATACTTCAAGATCACAATTGCTGCGGTGCAGGTCTGCATCAAGAACGTATGTTTAAATTCTGAGAACAATACACAAATATATATTGTATAGGAAGTGGATTAAAAACCCCATAGTATTATGTCATTGCTTAAAAATGAATGCATCCCAACTACAGTAAGAGTTATCTGATAATTGTATGCATAATAACACTTCCAACCCTTTGTCAATCTACCGATGGATGAACAAACCATGCCATGCCGGTCATGGTTTGTTTGACCATACTTTACCATGCTGGTCAGTGAGGCACGCTCATAGGAGGGACACGCAGGACCAGTCCAAATATCAGAGGCCACTGATGTAAACTGTGGCACGAAATTGAAATCAGGTCAACCAGGTTGTTTCCAAGTACAGTATGTTCACCACTGCACCAATGCTCTACCCAAATACAATTTCTGTATCATATTCCACTTCTATCATGCTCCTGCTGCAGATTTCCTCGTGTACTTAATCATTCAGTAGCCAGACATGGCCAACATTACCAACATAATAAAGGCAATGCAATTTAAAAGCTTTCAGACATTTGTTTTCTTGAATGCATCCTCAGATGTCATCATCATCATGTTAGGTGGAAGCAATTGCTCTAAAGTAACTGTTTTCCAATGTACTCAATACAAGCACTGAGATAACAACTCACGATGCATGTTGCTGCATTTGACGATAATGAAGTGGGTAGAGTTTTGTGTGGTCGTTTTCATTGGCACGCGTTTGCAGGATGTTACATCGCAAGCGATGGGGAGGGTTGAAACCAAGCTTGTGACTCTTGCCATGCACACTATTCCCGTTTATTACCTGGGCTTCAACAGGTCCTTCAAACACAAACATGCTATAAATGAATAAAAATTAACCCGTAAAAACAAAGTTTTTCACTATAAATCCTTTATATGCGTGGCATCGGTTTTATTTTATTATTCATTTCTGTCTTTCTTGAGAAAGAGTTTCATTTTTATCACATTGGTATTTAAAATTAAATATTTTAAAAAATTCCTAAAAAGTGGCACATTTTTGAACAAAAATTTTCACGAAAATAAATTGTCACGCACAACGAGTCTGTGTGCAAAATGTCAGCTCGATTGCATCAAGGGAAGTGGGTTAAAAAACGACCGAAAGATTTGCACGGTCGTAAGCGCGCAAGCAAGCAAGCAAGTGAACTTAATATAAAGGATTTAAAAACCTAAAAGGGGCACTAATCACACTGATTTCAAGTGTCTCTCACAGACAGTACTAGGTGAGAAAACACTGACTGTGTGCTTTTTCACGAGACTGACAATACCAAATTGAGCTCAGATAAAGGCTGCCAGAAGCTTCAAGGGCATTGGAGGTGGCTAAGCGCAATGCATAACTGTTAACGTGCAACTGTTATATTCTCTCTACACAGAGGGCAACACAGGATGATTCATAAAAGCTTTTAGAATCTAAAAGGAAAATGCATCAACTACATTGGCACAGAAGAGTCGCTTTTTACATTAAATGAAAGCGAATGCATCAACAAATATAACAACAAAATATTGATCCCATGGTTGTGAAAGAAGTGGCATCCACCACCATTGTGTTGGTAGAAGCAATGCAGCAAGGGTAGGCAAAGTGTTCACGTTAACAACATTCGACAAAGATATTGTGACGCACGCTAATATATGTTGGAGCAAATTTGCAAAGTCTCCTCGCAGAAGAGATATCGTGTTTCAGTGTACCCCGTAAGTAGAACTTCTTATAGCCATGTCACATGGTTATACAGTTTTGCCGGCCAAGTTTATAACGTACGTGTACAGCCCGTTTGTCAATCTGCTGCTAGATGAGGGTCTCCCCTACGCCGTACAGGTCACGAGGGTTAGTGGCCACACTTCAACACTCTGG